AAAGTCGTAATTAGTTTTTCATTGCAAAAATCCATCAATATTCGTGTTGTAGTGGTTGTGAAGACAATCTGGCATTTCAGATTCTAATTCATTTTGTGAAGCCATGTTTTTACACTTCAGTTGATGCTTTTATAGAAATTCATATAGTTCAGCAACCATTTTCTAGTTGTAAGTATTCCATATTCATCTCTGATACTCCTTCCTTTTTGGTTTCACTGCAAAATTATATAGCAATATACTGGGAAATAAAGTGTTTCAAACTGAAGATTTTACAAGAACCTCTTTTTCACAGTTAACCCTATTTAAGATACAGAGCAGATGGCTGTATTGTTTCTGAAGCCGCATTTAATTTTTAACTATGGAAAGTATTCTCTGATTGAATTGTGACTTTGTACTTTTCTTCCTTGTATTTTTTTTCGTAGTTTCAGAGGAAAAAATATTTATATTCCTGGTTTATATCCAGAGTACAGGTCAGTGATCACTGACAGTTCTTAAAGTCATTACTAGAATGCTTAAACTTTGGGGCACACTTGGAACAAGACTGCCTGACTTGTGTCTGCATTTGCATTATAGTTCTACTCTACATCTAGAAGGTCTTGTTTCTTCAGGGCCTTTCTCAGAGAGCTCTCTGGTTTTTCTTAACTGTGTTGTTAACATGGGAAGGCCTTTTAGAAAGACTTCATTTTTTTTTTTTGCTTCTCCTGTACAGTGTGTCTTCTAGTTCACTAGCCAATACTTCCTCTGCACTTTTTTCTGCATCTCTTGGCTGTTAAGGAATGGGTTGCCCATTCCTGTTGTTTCATGTGCAACTCAGGGTGCTATATATTGGCTTCCACCTTGTTAATCTGCATACTAAGTCTCTCTGTTTGTCCAGGATGCTTATATGGAGCTGTAGTATCTCAGGGACTCCAAAGGTATTAATGTTACCTGAAGATAATGGGTTTGATAGAGAAATCTTTCTCTTGTGGAACTGAGTTGGGAGAAAACAGCCTTCATTTGAATTCTCAAGATCTGTGGCTTCTTCACACTGGCTGAGGATTTCTTTTTCTGCATAAGGACATTTCTCTCCTGGTTTGTTTGGTTTTTTTTATTCTGTCCACTTCCTGTGTTTCTCGATCCAATGCATGGAGAGAGGGTGTCACTCTTGTAAACAAAGCACGGTGACATTCTGCATGATGGGATCTTATGGGGATGTTTTAGGCTGAGGGTAGTGTCCAGACTGCCACTGGTGTGTATACAGTCTGTGTAAGCTCCAAGTAGGGAATCTAGTTCTGTACTTCATTTGCAGCAAGAGTAACCGTTTCATTGCTGTGTGAAAAAAATGTAATGACTTGGAAAATTGCACTTAAAAATTACAATGAACTTGTAACAATTGGCTGTGTTTCTATGAGGTCAGTATTAGCTCAGTAATCATCTTTGTTTCATTATTCTGTCTTTATGTGTAGTCTGTTATATGTGCCATTGCTGCATGGAAATCCTCTGAAGTACAGAACACTTGAACAGATTCTCTACTTCTTCGGTGCTGAACTAGGCTGCACTCTACAGGATCTGTAACACCTTAGAGCCAGCAGAATGTTTACAATATACTACTCTCATGTGGCCTATTTGAGAATTGTTACTTACTCCAGTTTCATAACCAAACACTTGCCCTTTTTCTGACATTTTAAATACATATTATATTATATTAGTTGCATGCCTTCTTGTTTTTAGTAGAAATTTAAAGCTCTGTTTTATTAAAAAATGAAGCTAATCTTTATTTTAAAATGAGAAGGGAGAATGAGAATCCCAGAATTGAGTGCAATATAAACACTTTAACAAGATTATTTTTTTGAGTGATTGTTTACAATATCTATCATATGTGTAGATGTTAAAGATTCTTTTAGACATTAGAACAGCTTTTTAGCTGCTTTATTGTTATGAATATATTAAGAATATCTGTTAAATCAGCACAGAGTAAAATGTCTCCTTTTATACAAGGAAAATAAAATCAGTGTCATTAAATGACAAGAAAAAAGTCATAATTTGTGTACAAGATTTTATAGTTATCTTTTTACAGATACTCATTGTTTAAGTGATGCTCTCAGGTAATACTTCAGTCTCAATGAGTACATCTGTGAAACTTCAGAACTGTTTTGCTGGGTCTGCTACCAATATAGACTTGAGGCCTTGTAATAATTCTACAGAAAGCATTTTTACTGCATTTTTGTCTTTTCTAATTGTATTTTGCTGATAGGTGGTCACAATCTAAATGTTTATTTGAAATGTGAATAAGAATTGTTAGTTTATATTGTCTTCATTCCTAGTGATAGGAAAGCTATTCCAGGAAGAGAAGAAAGACGACTGGTACTCACTGTCATTTCTACCAGAGGATTTGGCATTGTTACTCTCTTAACTTATTCCAACTGCAATCACATAGGATCACTGCACTTGTGAATAAAAGCATCAAGCTTTAGAGAATTTGAGGGGCATAGATCATTACGTAGGCTTAAGATTCTTGTGAAAAACTGCATTGTCCTGATATAAAAGGAGCTAGAATGCCTGCTATGATAAAAATTACTAATGTAATATGAGGGCTTTTTACAGCTTTACCTATTGAGTAATGGCTCGAGTTCATTCTGTTCTGCATCTCTTCACCCAAGTCATAACCACAGACACCTTTGGGAGGACTGACAAGTCAATGACAGCCTCTCCTGGGAGGTAGATTTTATTTTTTTTTTTGTTCCCCCTGACTGAGATGTGAAAAATCCTGTTCAAGCAAAGAACCTCTGCAGTGATTCTGCTGATTTGTTTAATCATTATATTAGTTGAAGTCCCTCATTTGATTTCTGTCCCCTGCTGCCACCACCCAACAGGGACAGAGAAACTATCCAGGGATAGGTTCTTCAGCGTAAAGCCTCCCTCTGAATTCTGAAGGGATTATCTGTATGTGCATGTCCAAATCCTATGGCTCTGGATACTTTGTGATATTCAATGTTGAAACTGAGAGTGGAAGAGATACCAGTCCTGGTCTTTTTACTTGCATTCTTTGTTTTCTGGGTATTTTATCAAATGGCTAGACTTTCTCCTACTGCTTGCTCCTCTCTGCCATAGTAGCAGTGAGAACCCACCTTGCACCATGTCTTCTCAGACTACCTCAGGTTCTCGTGCCTTTGGGAGCTTAGACTCTTGGATTCATGTGGTTACTGGGCTGATGTAAATCTTCCTTCCAGCAGTTATTTTTTAAATTAATGCAGATCATATAAATCTCTAAGATGATGGCCCTCTCCTCTGTAAACACTTTCCAGGACTCACATCTAGTTAAGAGATGGCCTTCTTTTCCTGTACCAAAAAAACCAACCCTAAAAACCCAAGGGAAAAAAAAAATAAAGCAAGCCTCTTTATGTTTTCTCCATGTTTTGAGAACCATTAAATCTTATTATACTAACCTGTATCTTGTTTCTCTGAACCGAGTAAATAAAACTCAAGAGAAGTGCATGTTCAGGTAGTGAGAGCTGATGACAAAATAGAAATGCCAGAGACTTGGTGTACTACTATGGTTTCAAAAGCTTTTTAAAAATCAGGTTTTCCCCTCTGATCCCACATGTCATAATGAAGGCTATTTTAAGTTAATTTTTAAATTCTCGAAGAAGCAGAGTAGCACTGCACACTGCAAATGCATACTGTGTTTTTCAGAGGCCCTGCAAAGTATAAAGAACGTCAGTATGAGTTCACCTGTAAAAGTGAAATTAGCCACACAAACTCATGTCTGGTATTTCCATATATAACAATTTTGTTACCTTTCTTTGCCACTTAAGAGAGTGCAGTAGGTGGCTTATACTGCTCAGAGTATTCAAACTTAAGAAGATGTAGTTAGAGTGTTTTCTCACAGACTGAAGTAGAGCAGGTATGACAGCAAAGAGTTCAAATAGCTTTGTATTTACACAGATGTAGAGTAATATCTCAAAACAAACACATCTGTCCAATTTTTACAATTCTCATTGTATTCTATTTCAGAAGTTGCATGCAAAACAAAAACATTTCTCACAAATGCTAAAGCAATGGGAAAAAATCCTTTTGTTTCATCTTGAGCAACAAAACCATATTGATTTTCATTTTCAGGCTGTCCTGTAACAGTAAAATTTTACAAATTTGCATTGCTGTAAATACATTTTTCTATTGCAACTTGAAAATGTGTGTGTATTGTCTTAGCTTCAGAAATGTTTGCTTTAGGAAAATGGTAAAATACGTGCCAAATCTGACATGCCTGCAACTCCATAGCTTATTTCCTATTTCAGTCTCTTTGCCCAGGTTTTCTAATGGAAGAATTTTGGTGCAGTAACATACTAACTTGTTTTTTCTCAGTTCATCCTCTACCAGCTTGATTTTTTTTTTAATTTTTTTTTTTCTTCAGATGCTCTCATCTTTTTTCTTACCAGTGGAAACCATAATTCTGTAGGTAGCTTTTGCATACTGTTATTTTGGCTTCTCCTATTGATTTCATTCCAGGCTAGATTTTATCCAGAACGTTATACTAAGTTGACTGAATTATTCTAGTAAGGAATGTAAAAGCATAGGTTTATTGAACTGGTAAGTATCTTCTTCTGATATTACAGGCTATGGCTTTTTGTTTTACAGTGATTTTTGCCTCTTTTGGTATTGTGGTATAAAAACCCAGTACTGAACACTGCCAAAGTTGGTCATACCCAAGCAGGGTAAGTCAGGAGGCATTCCCCTCAGGGATCTTAATATATGTGACATAAAACAGTGATGACAATCTGGAAAAATTCTGGGGCTTTGTATTCAGAGGAAAGACAGGGAAAGATCAAATTAATTCCAGACTGAAGCTAATTCTTATTTAATACTATCTTATTTGGTTTCAGAGAACACTGGGTCAGGAACAGCTGAATTCATAATCATTCTAGCAAGAGCCACTTAAGTGCTCTTCAAAGCAATAAAACAGCAAATGTGAAGGTGAGCAAACAGTATTTAAAATGGAGTGCAATTTGTTGCCATTTTGTCTATCACAGGTTTAGATACTCCAGTACAAACACTTGGAGAATTTTGTTGAGATTGTCAATAGTGGGTTTGTCAAGGTTTTCTTCTGTGTCCTCCATGGTATGCCATACTGCAGGAAAAGGGGATGGAATCAGATGTAGGACCGGAACCCCTATTAAAAATAAAGTGAAATTTGGAGAAGAAATATTAAGAGAAGTTCTGTTAGGCCAACTGATAACATTGCCATTCAGCAACAGAGTCAGGTAACTAGACAATAAGCTTACTTTGTATAGAGGTGTGTGTGTCATTGCAGCTCCTCTTTTTTACCTTCTTTCTCCTTTCTTTTTTTTTTTTTTTGTCTCTGACTGCAGCCCATCCATTTTATTGTTTGTTTCCTAAATCTAGCACCTTCCTTCCCTTAGTGTACTTTACCCTCTTTGTTTCTTTAAGACACCTTTAGCTAGTGGTTTTATTGTGATACTTGATTTTTTATTATTTTTTTTTTAGATCCTTTGCAATGTAGTTGTTGATATGGTTTCTAGACACTACAGGAGGGCAGAGAAACCACTTCTGCTCCCCAAACCGAAAACTAATGACCATGTTCTTGTGACAGTGTTAAGACTGTATGTACACTTCTTGAAGCATTTTTTTAGTCCTCTCCATGAATGGTAAAATAGGATGTTTGTATTTTCACTGTAAAATAGAACTACTGTTATCCTCAGATAAAAGAACTTGCATTTGCTAGGATCTGAATCGCTGCATATATGCATACATCAAGCCACCTATACATACTGCAGCTTCTAGGTAAAAGATGAGTGAAATCAGTCTTCTGCTTCCTGTTCACTTTTTGGGGGAGCATTGTTTCTCCCCAGCCTCTTTCCCATTTTACTACTTTTCCTCTTTAATTTTTCAGCTGCATACCATTAAGGAATCTGTTTTCTTCACTAGGTGTTAATCATGTTATTAGAAAAGGTTTTGAAGTGTAATCATAGTCTTCCTCTATCTGCTTCTCCCATGCAGGATTTTTGATACTGGTGGACATGTATATGATGGCTGTGTTGGTTTTGCTGGCCCTCCTCCCTGTGTTGGTGTGAAAAATGAAAGATCTCTTGAGTTGAAGAGCCATTGAGCAGAAGACAGTAACCATAGCTCAGTGGATAGTTGCAGGTGTTCTGTGCCTGCTTCCAAAGCTGTGTGTGCATTTTCACATTACTCAGTAGTTATCAGAACATAAGCAATGGTAAAATTAGGGGCTGGATATGAAGATACCTCCCTCCGTTCCTAGGTAGACACCCTCCTCATTGAACTAATGTTACATTCCTTTTTGGTTAACTCTTCTCTAGCAATATAACTCTTCTAGTCCTTGCTGTACAGTGGAAGATTTCAAACAGAAGAGATTACTCTTATCTATTGCTCCTCTCCCAGCTTAGTTTTGAAGATGTTCTGCTGAGTACTTGAAGGACATGGAATCCACATGTGGAACTTGGACAAGTGCTTTAATGTAGCTTGACAAGGTGGCAGCAGTAGTACAACTGTTTTCCCTTTCTTCGATTTAATCCCATAGGAAAAGAATTAACACAAAGTCAGAGGCTATCATGTAGGTATCTGACTGGAGAAATGCTTAGGTAGGCAATCCCAGTTTCAGGTTATGTGCCTAATTCCAGGAACAATTTCAGGCATATTGTGTCCTCTGCTACTTCTGCTGACTACTCTGCACTTTTCCCATCCCTCAAGCTGACAGCTGCAAAACTTCCATTCTCTTCAGGGAATAAGGATGTCATGTTTGAGTATCTGAGTTTTTGCAGGAATCAGTTGCTCCAAATTTAAACAGGTAACGGTGAGCTTTGCTGTGACTTTGACAACAGATCTTTAGAGATTTTTCTAGTCTTTGAAGATACGACCCTTGAGTGTGTAACTGCTCCTAGAAATAGTAACTAGTTGGCTAGCATAGCATGTAGTGACATCCCACTGGATCAGAGTTGCTTATCTTTGTAGGACACTCCTGCTGGCAGAATTGTCCATTATCTCTGTGCCACTGGAGCTGTGCTCGTGCAAAATGAGGATGGATTTGTTTTAACATTGCTTTTATTCTGATAAGTTTTTGAAAACTGCCTGCATGAAGCTGGATTTGAAACCCTCATGTTGGGGCAAAAAACCCTGAAAATCAGGATCATATGCATTTTCTTGCTCACTAAATGATGCATTTGTTACGCAGTTTATACTTTAAAATATAAGAACTTCCAGTACCTCTTAATAAAAATGGAACATGATCATCTTCAACTAAGCCTCGATGTGAAGTAGTCTGGAAATACTGCCTTTCAACGAGGTGATTCTTCAACAGGTTCATATTGTGTAGATCTTCTTCTGTAATACAAAATGAAAGTGATTATTACAACTTTTGGACAATATAAGGCCAGTTACATGGAAGCTTTTTCTGTCAAAGAAAAAAGGAGCTGGTGACTGTTTTTTTCCATTTGTTTAGTACTTAGAAGACCTCAAGATTGGTGCTATTACTGTCATTTTACGAAAGTGAGAACTAAAACACAGAAGTGAAACAGTTTCCAAGAATCACAGAGTGAGAACCAGCAATAGAATCTTGCTTCCTGGCTTCCAAGTGTCTGAAAATCTTCCTCAGTTATTTAATTAATTAAATATTAAAATCTTTGTTCAGGTTTAAGATGCATCAGATTGAACTTTTACATTATTACATAACTGTAAAACAAAAATAATTAAAAAAAAATCTTATTTACAGAGCTTAATACTTAATACTCATTTCAGAAACTACACACTAAATTTTCAAATCTGTTAAAATCCCAATCCCCTCTTCTTACCAATTGCTTGAAGCCTCTGAAACCATCTAATAGTTTTTGGAAAATAATTGGGAAAGACAGGGTTTGGTGCACCAATTAAATCCAGTAGTACAAGCAGGTCCTACAGAAGAAAGAGTATTTAATATGGATTCTTTACCATCAACAGCAGCAGCAATAAAACCTCTCAGTTTCTGTAGAGGTCATGATTGGATCTTTCATAACTCTGGCCAAAGATCTGGCTTTTCTACCATGGTGCCTAAGAACTCATTAGCAGAACCCGATTCAAATCTTAGGGGTTCTGGTGTCTTTCCAAATTGGAAAAAGGTAGGCTGTTTCTCTGTTCCTCAAGATGGAGCAGACTGCATTGCTTTGTTTGCAGCTTGTGTGTTATATCCCTTTAAAAGAAAAACTGGTAGGTGGGGAGAAAGAAGAGGAAATTGCTTCTTCCCCAGAGAATAACAGTCTGTCAAGGGAAAGACATTTTATGAGTCACAAGATACAGTTGCAGAAGAAAAGTGTTTCAGCAGTGAGTGGAGAAACTAGAAGGCTGCAGGGAGAAGGGAGCAGACAACCAGAATGTTAGTAGGAAACAGCTTGCTGTAGCTTAGCTAGGAGAGGTTTGTTCATCAACTGATAGTGTGTCTGTGCTCTTTCCTGGTATCTTTGAATTATCACTGTTGAAGAAAGTGGGTATCCTAGTTTATTTTCTTACACATTTGTGTGTTTTGATTTTGCTATGACTCCTCATACTTGCATGGGGAAGGTCTAAGCAGATTCACCTGAAAAAATCTTTTGCCAACTCTATTTTGTCACATCTCATAAAATTTCCACGAGGCTGCTTCTGCCATTACCTTTGGTGTGGTTCATGGTTTCCTAGGAATTTTGCCAATTACTAATTAAATATTTTAAGAATGCAATTTACTATTACTCATTAGAGAGGTGAAAGCCACTTACTATGCCTTGCAGCTGATTTGTTGTTGAACCAGGTGGATGTGGAGTAGATACCATTTTTTGAGCTAAGTGTTGAGATCCATAGAGGGAGTCGGAAGGGGACCACCGGACAAAGGCTTCTTCACCATCAAAAAAAATGAGCTGAAGTGAAAGGTCTGGTCTTGACATTGAGCTGGTCTGTTGGAGGAAGTGAAAGGTAACAATTGATTCTGGCCAGAACATTAAATAAAGGACAAATAGTGTCGTCATATAAGCAACATCAGTAGGGGGTATATTTTTTAAGTACCCTTTGCAAACCTTCTTAGGGCTGTTAAGCACAGGTTATGGTGTAATCGTGGTAGTGATCAGTCATTATTTATCTAGCACAGTGACATGTTGTCCATCCTGGTATAATTTTATTTTGGTTCTGGCTAAAAGTTTCATTTCTGACCTTAGTGGATGTGAGCTGATATGTTGAGACAGGTCTGCAAAATCAGGTAGCAGAAACATCAGCTCAAATAAGGAGGAGGCATGTCAGTAGCACTACCTGGTGTAAGTACTAATATTATTACTTGATAGTGCCACAAAGGAGTAGTATCTGTGCTACAGCTGGACATCAGTGGAGGTGATTTATGTATTTTAAAGTTGATGGTTCTTTGAGGGACAGAGAGCAGTCAGTCATGAGAAGAATGACCATTTCTTTTCCTTCAGGGAAACTCACAACCACTCAGGTGACTTTACCCTAAAACCAAAGCACAGAGAGTGGAGTAGACACAACATTCCCTTTCAACAACCAAAAATATCACCACAGTAAAAACTGTGTATATGCATGATTCCTGTATTGAAGGTCACAAAGAAGACATCTGTGTGAAATTTCAGCCCAATGCAAAAGGAGCCTTTTTTCTCTGTTTACTAACTGAAGCCCTGTTTGTTGTCTACAACAGGGCTAAACCCAGTTTGGTTCTGCTATATGAGCTGTTTGGGGAACTGTAGTCTTGGCAGTTGCCACAAATATTCTAACCCCTCTGTGAATTAGTGTTCAAGTTAAATTGCATGATATGGTTAAAAAGGTGGGGTCACTGGCAACAGTCATGTCCTGTATGGGCTATAACTCCCAACCAGCTGGAGTTTATCCAATATAAACAGTAGTGGAAAATTTCTATAAAGACATCGCTCACGTAGGCAAGATGATATTGATTATGCTCAGTGCTATATGGATTTCAATAATGACAATTCTTTGCTGCCCTTTGTCCTTTGCACAGGACCAAGCTATTTTGATAGCAGTCATTTTGCATTACACTCAGGAGGAAACTGTATTAATGCCATTTGAATTTTAGAAAGTATGATTTGTAATTGTTATTACCATTTAACACATTCACAGGTCTGAATGATGTAGTGACATGTCTTTACCCTTTGATTTTAAATTTGCTCTATATAACTGGAGCAATGTCAAGATAAAAATCACAGCTTCAAGTCAAAAGTATAAATAGATTTGGCTGAAAACACAACAAACTTTGTTATGCTACTATGAGCAAATCAAAAGGGTCATAGCTAATATATTAAGCAGATGGATCCGATAGTGTATTTTGTTAACAGACTGTACAAATGTTAGCCTGTGCAAAGTAATTATCTTGCCTTTTTGTCAGATGCTGTCATCTTACACGATAAATCAATTTAATAAACAAATTATGTAATACTTGTGAAAAATTCCAGTCTCTAAGTCACTGTGCAGGTTGTTTCATAGATAAGTATCAGGAAAAATTATTCCAAATGAAGCTTCTAAATGTAAGCGTATGTATTACTGGAGTGCTTTGTTTTGTGACAAAAAACACTGGCATATTCTTAATCTTCTAATTCTTAAATGTTCTAATGTCAGAAGGCACCAAATCAGTTTCTGGAAACAACTGCTGTCGAGTAATCTTAATACCCAACACTTTGTAAAGCATTTTGGAGACCTTCTCCTGTGAAAGCTCTTAAGGGTGTGTATCAGTAAATCGTAGATAGTGAACCAGTAGATGGCACTCATGAATCTGTAATCCTAGAAATTTGTAATCCTAGAAGCTTTAGGAGCTTGTAGGATCAACAGATTTTTGTGCCTAGCAATGGCAGCACTCTGAAGTAGTTTTTCATAGCATAGGTAGCATAGACTGATAATATTATGCTATTACTTGAGTGTTTTCCTGTACTCAGCCATCACTTGTTTAATAAATAAACTATTAAAATTGATTAAAAAAAAGAAAAGCTTGAAATGGTTATGGGATGGAGGGACATCAGTGTAACTCTCCTGCACAGCAAATAGTTCATCCATCTCCCAAAACAGAATACAAGTAAAAGGTTTTAAAAGTGCAAGATTCAGAAAGCTACAAAACTTTGTCAATTACCTTAGAGGTTACTAGATATCCTAAGTGCTTCTGAGTAGAGTTCTGTGCTTTGTAGATAGAAAGCATACATTATTCATGTATAAATGGTTATTTTTGTATAGTATATATTTATTAGATAATTTTTAGACAGCCATCCTTTGCATAAGTAGCAGACAGAGATCTCTGTTCTGTTCTTCTCAACGTCAATGGGAGTTTTACTACAGGCAGAGCAATCAGAGAAGCGGACACACAGGCTGTGAGAGAGAACATGGAAAGTGTCCCAAGGCCAAAAATGAATGAAAATGAAACAAGCAAACTACCTTGATTAACTGAAGCTTGTCATCCAGTGCACGTGCCAGCTCTAGTATCATAGCACAAGGCACAGCTGAATCAGTTGCTCCTACAAACACTCTCTCCTGCCATTGTTGTTGAAAGAATTTTGAGTCGTAGTGGCAAGCGAGTACCAGGTGGCGTTTTGCAGAGGGGTTGAGAGTGCTGATGATATTTGAAAATGTTTTATATCCATATGGTGTGTATCTCTGAAATGTATCTTCTTCAATTTCCCAACCAACCTGTAATCTTTGAAGACGGTGCTTGATATCAATGGGAGTTTTACTACAGGCAGAGCAATCAGAGAAGCGGACACACAGGCTGTGAGAGAGAACATGGAAAGTGTCCCAAGGCCAAAAATGAATGAAAATGAAACAAGCAAACTACCTTGATTAACTGAAGCTTGTCATCCAGTGCACGTGCCAGCTCTAGTATCATAGCACAAGGCACAGCTGAATCAGTTGCTCCTACAAACACTCTCTCCTGCCATTGTTGTTGAAAGAATTTTGAGTCGTAGTGGCAAGCGAGTACCAGGTGGCGTTTTGCAGAGGGGTTGAGAGTGCTGATGATATTTGAAAATGTTTTATATCCATATGGTGTGTATCTCTGAAATGTATCTTCTTCAATTTCCCAACCAACCTGTAATCTTTGAAGACGGTGCTTGATAGCTGTGATTACAAATTAAAAAAAAAAAAAAAAGAAGATACATTTTATAGCAGAAAATGTGATGTCATTATATAAAATAAGCAAGATCTTTGCTATCTTATCTTCTGACTGGCTCACTTGCTTTTCATTTCTCCCTTTTGTCTCTTCTCTTTGGAGTCCGAAGGTGCTTTGACTGATTGCCCATTAATATGACATATTAAGATCTTGATCTCTGAAGTTCCCAGCCCACTGGTTTTTCAGGTGTAACCAGAACAGATTTAATGTTTACCTTTCCAAATCCAGACTCAGTTGTGCCCTTAAATTAAATGTTAGAACTGGCTATGGAGAACTTGGTATGGCTATTTTGAGAATTACCACACACAGATGCCACAGCAGTATAAAATAAACACTGGGGGCTTTTGGTTTTTTGGTGTGGGGTGTTTGGGTTTGTTTTTTTCATTTTTTTCACTTCTATGAAAAATTTGCCTTTCCAGTGACATAAGTTGTTTACAAGGTTGCAAGAGTCTGGTTACTGTAAATTAAAGAAAGAATTAAACATTTCAGAACTACTTTTAAAAATTAAATCCTTTAAATTTAGTTCATGTAAAGATGAAAGTTAAGATAGTGTGTCTATAAAAGAGATCATTCATTTTTGGTATCTTCCTACCTAAAAAGAATACCTCTCACAAGCCCAGTTAGGCCTGTTATGGAGTTCTGTATTAGAGGGCCATCTCTGTGGAGGAACTTATTTTTATGAGTCCTTAAAGTGCTGCTTCACGGCAGATTCCTCCCTCTTTAAATAAACATTAGGAAAAGCCTCCAAGGAGAAAAAAGGAGAAAAAAGAAGGCAAGACATTGAAGACTTGTCCTGTACTTAGTAAAGTCAGTGTGAATATTGCCACTAAATTTTAGTGCTAGAAAAAAATCCCATTGTGTTTGTGGTCACCCCCTGAAAGCTTTTATGGCATTGTATGGTCTATCTGTAGGCTGAGCAAAGTATGTCTGTTACGGATTAAAGGGAATATATAAACCTGGATGGAGTTCCCAGCGTGCACTAGCTGTGACTTGGCACTACCCTTCCCTCTTAAAGGAGTCTGATGCTTTTTCTATGTCTTAACAAAGAAATGTCATCCGCTTCAAACTCTGTGTGGTTCTTTTTCCTTTGGTAGGGGTCTACTTTAGTATCTGCTGTTACCTTCTAATGATCCTATTATTTTGAACATGATTTGTGGCTTTCTAGCCAGGCTCAGTAGGTCTTTTGTTTTTCTTTTTCTCCTTTCATTTGGCTGCCTTCCAGGGTATCACCAAAGAAACCACAAAACTAAATCTATAGAGATATGCACACAGGCATGCACACACAGGCACAGGGCATAACAATGCTGCATTTCTCCAGTCTACCAACTGCAGAGGGACAAATAAACTTCTTGTAATGAGTGCTATCTTGGAGCTGCTAAGTCACAGCCTAAAGGGCTGATGAAGGCTAGTGAGATCTGAATATCTTCTAGTAAACTCAGCTGTACCACCGTTTTGGTCTCCCACTTGTCTAATGTAATCCAGAGCCAGCATGGCACATAGTCCTGAAGAAGCCTATGTAGAGCAGAGGTGCCAGCAGGGCAGCAACCTTATGGTAACTCCTTGTGGTGCAAATACAACAGGCTGGAGCTTTGACTGGCTTGGGGCCAGGTGCAACTGGAGTATGTTAGCCCAGCATTAACAAGCTGCTGTACCTGGGCCTAAGAAGCTAGTGTGGTATGTGGACCAGTCTCTTCGTGTTGACCATTTAATCCACCTGCTGCCCATCTGAGCCCCTCTGATCCCTGTTTGTGTTGATGTGCCCACCTACAGCAAAACCACATAGGAGTGTAGGACCTCTCTAGAAAAAGGGCAGGGGGGTGTAATTTATTTCCTCCCCATCTATGGTCCCAGGGGGGTTGAACCGGTGACCAAAAACCTCTTAATGTAAAGGAAAGGACAACAGCTGTGTTACTCTTTGGGTATGAAACCTGAGGCAAGCTTTTTAATTTAAAACATAAATTTAATATCAATTTTTTTTTTTTCCATCATGCCATAGAGCCGGGGCAAATAATGTCAGCTAAAGCGCAAGCTGTGTCATGCAGGCTTAATGCAGTCTAGACTTGAACAATTATATAGTTCATTCTACTGAATGAAAGGAATGTGTCTGTCCCTTTAGTGGTCACTAAAGGCACTACCAGAATATAAGTAACAGACATTCTTAGAGATTTTCAGGAAATGTTGTCTCACCTGTCGTACAATGTAATTTCCTGGTGACCCCGAATATCTTTCTATCAGGAAAGGGCGCAAATCGTTCTCCCACATTTCAGAAACATTGGTGTTTGCTGCAACTTCTTGAATAGCATCAGAATGTAAAATTCTTGGTTGGTGAGAATACTGTAGAAGGGGAAAAAAGGAAAGATTAGTGTAACTAATACTAGACCTTTTAACCTTGTTTTTCTTCAGAATTACAGGAAATACATTATGCTACTTCTGTTTACTGACAACAACAAAAAAATGTTAAAAGAGCTTTTCTTTCAAAAATTATTTACATTTTTAAATTCTGTGGCTTCTGTATCTCTAATTACCATACAGAATATACTAGTACTAATAACATGGGAAAAATTTTTACCTACCAGCTAGCTGCAAGAATTCAATCCATGATGGGAGTCTCTCTTTGCTAGTGTCTTAATTCTACATATATACAGTCATGTCTGCAATTGTGTCACCATCAAATGAGGCTTCAATTGAGACAAGCACCAGAAGCTTTGTTTTTAGTAGTAGTAATAATACTTAGCTTTCTGCTGTGTCTGCATTATGAGGTAGAGCCCTGCAAAGAAGCGCATCCGCTAGCTCAGTCCCAGATAGGGAAGCTGTGTCATTGTGGCCTCTGCCCACAGTGGTGGTATTGGCGTGACTACACAGCATGGTGCAGCTCGTCTGGGGCTAGCTGGGGTGTGCATCAGCTCTGTGACACATGGGTTAACCTCAGAATTGGCAGCTTGTCTCCTGTGACAAACGCTAGCAGTGCTAGCTATCTCCCAAATGCCTTCTCTCCTGTTGCCTAAGTATGGACCTTTAGAGCTATTTCAGGTGACCTAGAACATCTAAGACATCCTCATGGGGCTGGAAAATGCATGTCTTTGATCTGCAAGAGCTTTCTGCTCTTCTGGACTGGTAGCTGACGCCAGGTGGGATCCCCAAGGACATCTCAAATGCCCCTTTGGGTACTTACTTTGAACCTATTCAATCTCTAGCAATTGTCTCTTCTGGAACTTCCTGAGCCGCTTCTGGTTTTATAGATTTCTACTATAGGCACTATCATAGGATGTCCCTATCATATCCATTCCTTATTTCTATCATACAGGCTTCCCTCTTCTCTTTCTCCCACAGAAAAATCCTAGTCTGTTTATTTGTTCTTCGATCAGAATTGCCTTCCATGATTGATCCGATGTGCTGCCCTTTAGTGTACACCATCTACCTCATCCTTTTTGAGATGAGGAAAAGGAGGGGAACTGGAACATAAATGCACCATAGCTTATAGGGCAGGATAATGGTATTGTCTATTTTATTATTCTCCTTTCTTCAAACTGTTTAACAACTGACTGGCTTTTGGGAGGCTGCTGCATCAAACTGACATTTTCACAGATTAATTTACTATAATTCCATCATATGCTACCAAAAGATAATTCCCCCTCCTTTCCCACTCACTCCTGTCTATTATTTCACATTTGTCTGGAATGACTGCTGAAACTTACTACCTGGCCAGAAAGCATATCAACTCAGAGATCTTCTGCAGTAATGACCTGATATCTTAATTACCCTGACTAATGAATATTGTTTAAAAATTGGTTTTGCCTCACTATTTTTTTTCTTTTCTACTTAATCTGTGTGTGTGTGCTGAGCAAAGCAGGCACAAGCACACATTTTCTAGACTTCACTGTAAATATTTAACTCTACCTTTCTTTCTTTTCCTAGCTGTTTGTCTATGTGTGGACCTTTCCTCTAATTCCATTTTGGTTTATTAGTGAAATTAAGCAGAGGGGAGACACAAAGATACTGAATCCTACAATGCCAATTTTAATATAGTGTTTAAAGCTGAATTTTAAGACTATAAGGACACTAAAATTTAGGATGTGCAGTTAACATTTTTATTCCTAGCAAATTCAGGCACAGCTTAGAAAAAAATTACATTTCCTCTAATATAGAGAACTTCTTTAAGTTTGGAAATTGTAGAAGATGCATGAGCTGTCTTTTGAGAGTCTACAAGCTGAATACAGTGGAATTTAAATGAATGTAGAAAAGGCATAGATGAGAAAATGTGATGGAGCTGTTCTGTTTAGGAGGAACAGGCTGAAAGAGGAGACAGAAAAGCTAAAGCTATGCACTTCAGAATAGTGCAGGAGGAAAATTAATTAAGGAAGTTCAAAAAATATGCCTTCAGTTGAACAAGTGAAGGGCTCAATCAGAACATGGAATCATCTCACTTCTAACCATAGAGCATGCCTGGTATTTGAGGTCATTGAATCCCTTTGTAAAGAACATTATTAAAGTACAGATGTATGAAAACACTTCAGAAGAGAGGAATACATTCCAGTTTCTAGTTATGGAGATATCTACAAATTTGGGAAATGAAAGGAATTATAAATGTGATTATGAAAACAAAAGATAAGCAAAATGAGATCTGTAGGAGGCAAAGCAGAATTTCCTGTAGGATCAACACTTTCCTTACAGTGTTGGTCAATCTCTTACTTCCTCTGTGGCCAAAGCAGGAAGGCAGAGCAATGTGTTTGTGACAGGGCTACTGCTAAACCTTTTGTACCAAGCTGCATAAAACTGCAAGACTTCAACTTCTACAAGTAGCCCACACTTACCTTGCTGATTTTGTACGTCAGCTCAGTGGCAATGGAAATTAGCTTCTAAAAACTCTGTAAGTTTAGGACCCTATTCCTCCTCCTCAGTGAGAGGAGGGGAAGGTCTGTATGCTGTAAGACTTTGAAGTTCTGGCTCACACATCCTTTTAGGGAGAAGGAACAGAAGCTGTCAAGGGACAAGAATTTGATGAGGAAGAGGAAGTGGTTATTGGTTGGTGTCTGCATGGGCAGAGGAGTTTGGATGCTACAGTTCTGTGGTTATATGATACTGCTTACCTCACTGGCAAGCAGATTGACTAGCTGGAATGGAATGAGCTGAAGAGTATTGGTGTGGCTCCAGGGGGCTGAAAAAAAGGGCACAGGGGCTACACACTTGTATGTTGACTAGTATGACTGAAGATTTTAGCCTCACATATTCTCATATATGTACATAAGTTACAGATGTGCAATCTATACAGGAGCTATATAGAAAGATACAATTAATAGAACAGAATTATGAAGTTTCTCTTTTAAAAAAAACAAACCCACAAAACAACAACGAACCAAAAAATCCCCAACAACCCAACACTTATTTGAATGGCAAGTGAGTAAAATCAAGGAGAAAGGGAACGTGTAAGGTAAGACAAAAGGTATGAGGGAAGCTTCTTTTTGCCAGTTTGGCCTGGACTCTGATCTGTGGCTGAAGAGAAAGGTGCTCTGGATTAGTGGAGTTCAGCCAGTTCTGGCCGAACTTTGAGTTAAGCTCTTCTACAAACACCTGGGGATGGGCCATAGAAGTATATTTTCCGTTTGGAAAGTCCTGGAGCCTTTAACTGAATGCAATTTGCTCTCCCGTTTTCCATGTGGTTTAGTCCTTCATGAAGAAACTATGTTAGTGTTTCATAATCGTCCACTAAAAGTTGTTACACAGAGAATTTAAGGGGCTGCTGCTCATTACCATTTTCATTAGATGTTACCTTGAGACTGCTTGTTTTGACTAGTTCATACAACACTTTGAATTAAAAACAATGCAGTAGGGCTCAACAACATACTAGAATATGATATCCTTTCAAAACAATTTTGCAGTAGCTATCAACACCATCCCAACTTGGTTTTCCTAGCTAAATGTGCATCACTGCTGGAAGAGCTATTTGTTTTCTCAGACTGTCCTCCCAATGACCAAGATCTTGTTGAAAATTGGACTGTAATACAACATTACAGGGAAAGTTCGGGTTTTGATCTTTCTTGTCCTGTGTCGGTTTCCCCTTAAATTCACTACCTGCCCCTGGCAAAGCTCGTCGCTCTGGCTGCCTGTGCTCAGGCGGCGTGAAAGGCGTCGTGGGCACGACACGCGTGTGGAGAAGACTCCTCTGCATCCCTTAGCTCGGAGTCCGAGGGAAGCCACGCCAACCACCCGCACCTGCGCTCCCCGCGGACAGGACCGGCTCCCGGGCTGCGGGGGGGCTGCTGACCCCCGCAGGCAGGGGGACACGAGGGAGCGGAGCACCGCGGGTCCCCGCCGCCCGGGAGGCGCTGCCCCCGCACCCGGGCGCGGAGGCGCGGAGAGCCCGAGGAACGCAAAGGCCACCCACCTTCTCCAAGGTCCATGCTCCTCCGGCTTCCCGGCCGCGCACCAGCTGGAAGCAGGCGAGGGCGGAGAGGCACAGAGCCCCGAGCAGGCGGGGGGGGGGCCCA